ACACACACACAGAGAGACACACACACAGAGAGACACACACACAGAGACACAGAGAGAGACACACACACACACACACACAATTCTCATAGCCTAGTCACTGTGGATCTGTAGTGATGGCAGTGAACACAGCTCATGATGGACACCATCAGCAATAGGCTCTGCCTGGTCACCAGGTACCTCACCCTGAGCCTCCATGACCCCCTTTAACCCTCTGTACCCTGACAGCTGATTTCCGCCTATAATGCCCTCCCAAATGTGGAGACCTATCACATGGAACTTCAGCTCCAACTGTCCTCCCTGGCCCTGAACCTTGACATTACACCTTAACGATGACCCCACTTGCTCTTCTACATTCCCATTGTTGAGGCCATAGTGATGGTCACTGCCAATAATCCCCCTTCCTATAGTCTATGCCCTTTGATGCCGTTCCACATAACCCCAAACTTGAGTTAACTCCCAATCTCATCCTTGTTCCCACCTCCACGAATGTCTCTGCTTCCCCACCATACCCCTATAATCTTCCCCACCCTTATTGGCAGTGACCTCCCTGCTACCGCTGAATACGTCCTTGCACCCTCCCTGACAATTGACGGACTGACCTTCAGGACTACTGACTTCCATGAGCAGCCCCAGAACTGACTGACCAGATATCTGAATGCTTTACTTGCTGCTGCTCAACTGATGATACACAATTTCCCCGACTGCTCAAATAACCCTGCAGAACAGAATATTTCCTAGTGCCTGGACTACACTTGGACAGATCCCTGGATGGTGAATGCCCCAAGTTCTTGAATGACCGTGGCCAAGCCCCCAGGCTATGTGTGGACTGTGCCCCTAACCGACAAATTCTATACTGGCTCCCTCTGATCTGTGAAAATTGTCAGGGTGTTACTCCATCTTTAATTATGGACACTCTAGTCATTTTTCCAAAACATTACATCATAAGTCTATCGATTTCCTGGTTTGTCTCTGTTATGTTTCTTAAATAGTGAAGCATCATTGGTATCTAATTTTTGAATTGAGAAAACTTTTGAAGTCCATGCCTAGAACAACTATTTTGTTTAAATTCCTGGGATGAAATCATGTAGTCCTGGGAACTTTTCAAACCATCATTATCTCCATTACTATTAATTTGCTTATGTTAAATTTGATGAGTACCCTTCCCAAATTTCCTGAGAGGTCCAGCTTGTTCTACTCTTCCCCTACAGTGCATACTGGTGAAAAGTTTCTAGTATGTCTGGAATTTCCTTACTTTAAGTTAGAATACTATCATCTATAAGGGTCCACATTATTCTGAACCATCCTTTTTATTCTAATATACAGGTAGTTGAAAACAGTTTTGTGTTGATTCTGAAAACTGTTGCAAATTTCTTTTCCTGCATGCTTTATAGACCTCAAGACCTGTTTTATTAACCTTCACTGTCCTTTGCATTTTTTCATTTGCCAGACTCTTTACTTTTTATGTGCATTATCGTTTCTTTTTCTATTTCAGTCTTGTCCCTTACTTTATTAAGTCTATGATTGCTGTTTTTTTTGGCAGCTGGGGCATTTGCCTCTTAGGGTACCTTGTCTACCTGACTTTCACTCCCCAACACCCACCTCTTCCGCAAACATCCCTCATTCACTAGTTTAAAGTTTTTGTGTTTGCCCTATTCATTCTCTCCATTGGGACTCTGGTCCCAGTCTGATTTGGATGGATCCCATCCCCACTGTACAGTTCTCTCCCATCCCAGTACAGTTTAAGGAAAACAATGGCTTAGAAATTGGAATGATTGTTGTGCAGAGCAGGGTCGGTCCGAGGAACATTGGGTTGTATACACTATTTTCATGAGATCGGCAAGTTACAGATGTGTGTAAAGTGATCACAGGCAGTTTGACAGTAAAGATGACTTAGTTCAATTTCAGATTTCTGTATTCTGGGAAAGCAGTGAATATGATTGGGAGTGAGGAGGGAAGTAGAGGTGCCTGAGCTGGGACTGGTAAATCTTCCAACCAACATTCGGGCAAGCACTTTTTAGAAAGCATGCCATTTTGGCTGTCCCTCTCCTTTAGGGATAGCCGTTTAGACTGCAAGTAGACTTGATAATTCTACCAAAGTCATAGGACCTCAGAGAAGGGGACTTTAAACAAGTGTAGGCCCTCTATTTGGCTACACAAAGGGCCTAATACCTGTTCCATGCACAGGCCCTGGACAGATCTATTTTTCCTTCACCAGTTGGTAAGGAATGCTTGCCCAATTACCATACTAGAAAATTGCCCTGAGCCTGAGAAAAAAAAGTGTTGCATCAGATTTTGAAACTAGTGTTCTCGTAAAACAAAGTAACAATACTGTCTGCAGCAGGGTTGTATGTACTTGTCTGGCATAGGTCATCACACGTAAACTTGTTGACACTGACTTAAATGTAGCAACGTGAATCATCATTGGAATTCTCTCAGCTCAGCACCGTTCCCTAACATGGTGTCCTGGCAAACATCACTCCCCCACACATCTGCCAATTGATGAAAATCCACAAACTGGTTGAATCCACCTACCGCCTGCTTTCCATCAGAGCACCCGTATGAGACAATCTTCCTTACCAAGGTCTATCAGCAGACATCCTTTGCATCAAGGAATGGAAATACAGGAAGTCATTAACAAGTTTTGTCTGACAAACCGCATATATCGAGAGGCAGGCTTTGAATGATCACAGCAAGAAATGTCCTTGCTAATCAGATTCAGAACAAGCCAGAGCTCCTGTGAGGGTAACTTTGACTGCTGAGGCCTCATTACAAATCCTTTATGCAGTTGCAGAGACACAAACAATGCTGCTTATTAGCAAGGAGTATCCTCTCTACAAGCTAAGTGATGGGCTAATCACCTTAAACTCAGGAAGGGGCTATCAGGTAGATTCAGGGTTTTTCATTTGCTAAATACATTTACCCCATTCCCCCGCTGCTTTCACATACCCCTGAAGCTTTTCTCCCTGTCAGGTATACATCTCATTCCATTTTGAAAGTAAACAATGGATCTGCTGTCCCTTGCCGCTAATTAGTTATAAAAGCCTGCAGTGGAACTACTTGTGTTGTGAACCAAACCCAATGGGAAATGCTTCTTGAACTTTATTGTACCTTTCATCCCTGGGAGTCCAGGCATACCAGGCAGACCTCGATACCCGCGTCTGGCTGCTCTGCCTGGGTAGCCGGGAAATCCCTGTTGTCCTTTCTGTCCTGGCATGCCTGGTTGTCCAGGTGTTCCCTTAATTCCTTCACATTGACAGCTGGGTCTCATGCTTTGAAGTAGCGTTGGCAACTGAGCTGTACAATTGAATGAAAAAGACACATTTATGGTGCGCTTTTCATGATCCCTGGATGTTTAAAAGCACTTTACGGTGATGCAATACTTTGGAAGTATAGTCTGTGTTGTAATGTGGGAAACGTAGAAATATCATAGAATCTCTACAGTGTGGAAACAGGCTGTTCGGCCCAACAAGTCCACACTAACCCTCAGAGCATCCCACCCCACCTAACCCACTAATCTGCATGTCCCTGAACACTATGGGCAACTTATTTTGGCCAATCCACCTAGCCTGCACATCTTTGGACTGTGGGAGAAAACTGGAGCACCCAGAGGAAACCCAGACAGACATGGGGAGAATGTGCAAACTCCACACAGACAGTCGCCCGAGGGTGGAATCGAACCCAGGTCCCTGGCACTGTGAGGCAGCAGTGCTAACCACTGAGCCATCATGCTACCCCATTCTTTTTCAAATGACAAGGGCGGGGAGGGAGTAATTAAATCTATTCATACACAGCAAACACCCACAGTCAGCATTGTGAGAATGGCCAGATAATTTGGTTTTATGATATTGATTGTTATGGTATTGATTGGGATATTGAACAAAGATAACTCCTCAGCTCTTCAAAATAATGCCATGGGATCATTTACATCCACCCAAGCAGGAAAGTAGAGTTTAACTTCTTATCTGAGAAACAGCACCTCTGACACATCAGCACTCCCTCAGTACTGTGCTGGAGTGTCAGCCTTAATTTTTGTGCTTAAGCCCCAGAGTGGGACTTGAACCCAGAACCTTGTGACTCAGATGAGAGCAATACCAACACAACCACAGGTGACATAAAGTAAGATGGTGTCTAAAAGTTTTCACCGTACATCACCATTCAGCAAAAATGCGATATTAATGTGTTCAACACTTTCCACACCCTCTGGATTTCAAGGAAGGTCCTACAATAAGGTGGCACTGGCCTAAGTAAAGCACAAATGTTCAGGATTCCAGCTCCTGCTTGCTACCCTGTTACTCCCACAGGGAATGTACTGGCGATGAGTGGGGAGAGGATTTGTCTCTTATGGTGCAAGTTCCATGGTTGTAAACTGTTTAGACTCTGACATGAAGAGCAGCTTTTTGGTTCGAACAGTAGAAGCTATGCATTCCTGTGAAACAGCACCCCAACTCAAAGGGGCAGCTCAAGGAGGGGTGGAAAGCATTTTTTATTCATAATGGTTGTATAAAATCCACAAGAGAAATCTACACTAGAAATATGTAGATATATAAAAATAGATTATTGTCACTTTTCGCTTACCAATGAAGGGGACAAATAGACAATGAGATTTCATGCTTCTAATAATCTTCTACTTAATCTGTAACTAAGGGAGAAATGTGGTTGGATGGGAACAGTACAATCCATCTCCTGGTAAACATCTCACCTCTGCCGAAATGAATGAATTCAGCATCTTATTAACATTTGGAGCCACAGACTAGAGATCCAATACTCCATGCCAATTCTGCATGCGTATTATTTCCTACCCAGAATGAAAAGGCGCTTATGTTTAAACCTTCTGCATCTAGTGCACTGCTTTTTGCTTTGATCATAGAGTATATAATAGAGTACATACTAATGGCAATGTTCTAGCAATTCATGCTCAACAGCTTTATTAGAACTGTAACATCATTACAGCTATTTGGCTCACTGAGTTCATAGAATCCCTATAGTGTGGAAACATGCCCTTTGGCCCAAGAAGTCCACACCAACCCTGGGAGCATCCCACCCAGACCCAACCCCCTATAACCCACACACCCCTGAACACTACAGACAATTTAGCACGGCCAATCCACCTAGCCTGCACATCTTTGGACTGTGGGAAGAAACCAGAGGAAACCCACACAGACACGGGGAGAATATGCAAACTCCACACAGACGATCGCCCGAGGCTGGAACCAAACCCAGATCCCTGGCATTGAGAGGCGGCAGTGCTAACCACTGGGCCACCATGCCTCTCTGCAGAATTATTCAATCAGTCCCAATCACCTCTTCTATGCCCTAGCCCTATCAGTTTATTGCCCTCAAGAATTTAGCCAATACTTGGAAATAGTGCAATATATTTTTCACTCCTATCGGTCAAGGTATAATAGTACTGTTTCAAGAGGCGAGACTGTAGTTACGTGTACTCACTGCGAAGCATGTCACTGCAAAGTTTCATTAAGCGTTCGTCCGTGATAGGCTTTGCCTTAATAATAACAAAGATGAGTCATTATACAACATTATGTGCAAACCTCATTTGCAACAAAAATCAACTCACTAGACTGGTATTCTACATATACCTACAGGTTTCCCAGGAAGTCCAGGAACACCAGGCAGTCCATAAGGGCCTTCCTGACCAGAAGATCCACGAGGTCCTATTGGGCCCATTAGACCAGGCTCTCCATTCTTGCCATCAATTCCCCTCTCACCAGATGGTCCCGCATTACCTTTCTAAGTTACATACAAGAAAAATGCACTTGTAACATGTGAAGATATATGACAAGAAATAGAAGAGAAGGCCCTATGGCTGAAATTCTACTTCAACATCAGCTTTCTAGTCTATCCTTATGTCCCTCGATTCTTTCAAACTCACTGTTGAATATACTCAACAACTGCACAGTCACAGGCCTCTGGGGTTGAAAATTCCAACGCTTCATCATGAGTGAAGGAATTTTTCCTCATCTCTGTCCCAAATAGACAACCCCTGATCTTGAGATTTTGACACTTCATTCTCCGTCCAGGCAACATAGCCTAGCATTTGAGAAAGACAACAGCAAACGTGTATTTGAGTGACAAATTTGTCTGTAAAGTTGCCTTGGGAGACCAAGTGGAGAGAGCATTTGAGCAACTAGATCGTGCAGACCAACCTTAGGAAAACAGGAGCCTCTCTGAACCACATCCTATCGCACCTATTAAATGCTGGCATTGGGACACAACTAGGGAGCAAGTCAAGTTTGTGCAGAATGAGAACAGCAACAGGCCTTGCATTTGTATGGCATCTTCATGTTAAAGGTGCTCAGGTGCTTTCCAGGGGCACATCAGATACCTGCCTATTGAGGACTGAAGGTTAGTGGGAACTTGTAATTAAAATTAAAATCAATACCTACGCTGTCAAAACCACTAAGAATATTGTACATATCAATAGGAACTCCTAATTCTTCAAATCACCAGTGTACATACAATATGCTACTCAATCCTTTCATATACAACAATTCTGTAATGTCAGAATCTAGAAATGAGGTATGTTTAGCACAGAAATTAGCCATTTTGACATCAGGGGTCAAAAGTTCATCTCCCAATGAAAGTGCGAACTGCGTCATAAAATGCTGATATAATTATTTTACTGGAAAGACAACTTCCTGAACACACATCATTCTTTTCACGTGGTCTTTTCACAGCTCAGGAATGTCATGAACGCAAAACATACATGTAAGTCTTCAAGGGTTGAGATCCTATTCTAACAGCCACAGGAAAATTGCATTTCCTCCCGCACACAATTTTCATTTACTGGTGTGGATTTGTAAAGCCTTGATATATAAAACAAAACCTCTGCATTAAGTTCATGACCTTTGGGAAGCCTGCTGAGGAGTCAAAAACATGCCAAAGTGTAAATGTTTGGACTCCTCAAATGTCACTGTTAGATAACGTAATGTAATACAAATTTTTATTTTATTGCAGTGATTCGTCCTAGGGCTCTGACCAACAATTTATAGTACTTTTTCTGCTGAAGTGCCATGATATACTAAAAATGAAAAACAAAAATCAGCTTGCTTTTTTTTTTGTGCTATGATTTAAACTAACTGACAGCTCTGGCCATTACAGATTTCTGCTTTTGAAAGTTAAAAAATATATTTGCACCCATTGATTGAGAGGCAACCTGCCTGAAATGGAAATGAAACCACTCTTTTGTCAGTTTCAGTCGATGTAGCTGAAAGCTTTTGTTATGACAGCTGAAACCACTATGAATGTATGGCTGGGTTTCAATAGCTCAACCAGCTTCAGCTTAGTAAATGGAATGATTTGACATTTTAAGAAGCTGGGATAACAGAAAATGTCTTTGGTATGGCTTCTTGTTTACTTATAAACTTAAAAGGCAACTAAAAATTTACATTTTTGTTTACATGCTAGTGTAGTTTTGATTTCTTTTCACTATCTTTAACAGTAGGCTTGAATTCAGAGTGTTATTAGATTTTTAACAGCTTATTTTTCTCAATGATTTTAAAATAATTACCATTTCTATTGCATAGTTCCTGAGGACAATACACGATTTATATTGTCAAAAGTCACACAACACCAGGTTATAGTCCAAAAGGTTATTTGAAATCACAAGCTTTTGGAGCACTGCTCCTTTGTCAGGTGAAGTGACTACCAATGTATATTGGGCAGGTACCCATGAGGGTATATGGGAAAAGTGAAATTGGCAAGGAGGGAATAGGAAGGGGTAATGGGGTGGCATGGGGGTTGCTGATCCTAATGGGGCCTTTAAATGATCTAAGGAGCTGGGCTGTTGTGTAGCAAACTGAGGCAGACTTGCTATATTTTTCACACCCACACCCCATCGTGGCTCCTAAAATGCATTGCAAACCGAACTGTCGTGTGAAAAGACAGGCATTCCAGGCAAAGTCACATAATTGTATGGCATTTTGAAAGGTGCAAGAGTGCATAGGTTGAGATTTTCTGACTCCACAGCAGATCCAGCTCAATGTCTATCACAGATGAGCCATACTGACCTCTGCACTCCTCTGTCCAATCTTCTCTCCATATTCTTGCTTTTTAAGCAATTACTTTTGTTTTAGAATTCCTCATGGATGCTCCTTCAACAAAGGTTTGTGACAAAGAATCATACCACAGAGAAAAATATCTATAGGTCATTTTCACTAGTCGCTAAGATGGCAACAAAAAGGCACTTAATAAAAAAATTCTTTTTTGGCAAAAATGGCACAATTGAAAGTATTTTTCTTCAATCAGATATCAAAGTTATTTTTAAATGCTCAGATGGCCTTTGTTTCAAACTTAGCATTCCACAGCCTCACTTCATTCTGTGCAAAATGTTTTCTCCCACTCTGTTCCAAACATCTTGCATATAATCTGGAAAAGAATGTCTTGCATTTTTGTTGTGTGGTTCTTGGCATTCCAAAGTAATTCAAGCAAATGAAGTAGTGTTGCCATGTAGTCGTTATTTCAATGCAGGAAATGTGACAGCGAATTTGTACACAGCAAGCTCCCACAAATTGTCGCGCAAGCATGACAAGACAATGTGTTACTTGATGTTGATTAAGAGATAAATATGGACCAGAGATAACTCTGCTTCTCTTTTATTTAAATTAGTGGCATAGGATCTTTTAGCATTTGGGACAGCAGAAAAGGCCTCCATTTAATATCTCATTCAAAAGATGCAACTTCCAACAATACAGCATTCCCTCAGTGCTGCAGTAGAAAATCAGTGTAGAATATGTACTGGAACAGATTTGGATCTTCAACCTTCTGACTTTACTTGATATCTGTTGAGTTACAACTGGAGTTCTCATCCACGGTACCCTGGAATATTGGAAATAATCTGCTTCTACTTATCCTGCCTCATCCCTTCACAACGATGACATGCTCCATCCAGGATCTACTGGAGATGCAGCCAAGGAGGGATCTACAGATATATTTGTGGGGCTGGAAGGAGCAAGAGTGCACCTTTGGCTTTCACAACACCAGCCGATGTCACTGCCACTCCAGGGTCCTGCCCTGCTTCCAAGATCTACCACTCCCATATATCTAACTTTTGCTGGCTTCCATTTTTGGCTGGTTATCCAGTATTGAGGTGACCTGGAGCTGATGGGCTGTCCTGAGCCATCTTCTTTCCAGTTGCAGCCCACCAGCTAATGATAATGAAGTCTTCCCCACTCACCCATCAAAACAAAAGCAAGTCCCGGGACTACATATGTTGCTGGCCGTCTGCCTTATGTCGCCTGGAAGGAAACTGCTCTCTTTATACACGAGTTGACAAAGGATAGTTATTTTGATAGGAAGGTATTAGGCAGCAGAGTAAAGGATAATTACATTTTATTTTGATTAATTTGCAGACAATTACCTCGCCTTTTGTTCCTTTAGCACCAATTGCTCCCTGAGGAAATGTGAACACAACGGGTTACTGACGAAACACTTAAGATGAAAATAAATTACATCTGCAAACAATGACGTTTTTATTCTGAGCTCACAAACATTTATTTTTATTACCTGTAGCCCTGGTGACCCAGGGGGTCCTTCTTTGCCTTTCTCGGCCTGGATGAGAAAATACATAATACCATTTCATTCAAGTATACTTCCCCTGAGTGCAGCTTTCTGCCAGCAATATCAGATCACAGAGTCGCTCCTCATTGATAACCAAAGTAATCAAAGCATTAATTCATGATTTTATCACAAAAGAAGAAAAAAACTGATACTGCATTCAAATTTACCCGGTCTTGGATGTTCCAATGTCACACTTAAAATCAAGTTCATACCACGAACAATATATAATGCTTTGTTATAGAAACATAGAAGATAGGAGCAGGAGGAGGCCATTTGGCCCTTCAAGCCTGCACTGCCACTCATCACGATCATGGCTGATCGTCCAACTCAATAGCCTAATCCTGCTTTCTCCCCATAACCTTTGATCTCATTCGCTCTGAGTGCTATATCTAGCCGCCTATTGAATACATTCAATGTTTTGGCATCAACTACTTCCTATGGTAATGAATTCCACAGGTTCACCACTCTTTGGGTGAAGAAATGTCTCCTCATCTCCGTCCTAATGGTCTACCCCAAATCCACAGATTGTGACCCCTGGTTCTGGACACACCCACCATTGGGAATATTCTGTCATCTATGTGCTATAAGGGGATGAAACAATGTTAGAGGGGAAGGAAGCAAGATTCAGGAGAATGGTTCCACAATGAGGAATTTCAATTACATGGATAGATTTTGAAAGCCACAGCTGTTATCCTTGAGAAGAGACCATTAAAAGGAAATTTGATATTCGTGCTCAAATTCATGCAAGGTCTTGACGGAAGAAATGGGGAGAAACTGTCCTTGGTGGCTGAATGATCATCTAGAGAACTCTGACGTGAGGTTATGGACAAAAGAAACAACAGTGACATGAGGAAAAGCTTCCTTACGCAGTGAATGGTCAGTTCAGTATAGGAGTTGGGAGGTTATGTTGAGGCTGTACAGAACATTGGTTAGGCCACCATCGGAATACTGCATGCAGTTCTGGTCTACTTGCTATAGGAAGGATGTTGTGAAACTTGAAAGGGTTCAGAAAAGATCTATGAGGATGTTGCCAGGGTTGGATGGCTTGAGCTTTGGGAGAGGCTGAATAGGTTGGGGCTATTTTCCCTGGAGCATTGGAGGTTGAGGGTGTCCTTTGAGGTTTATAAAATCATGAGGGGCATGGATAGGGTAAATAGCCAGTGTCTATTCCGCGGGGTGGGGGGAGTCCAAAACTAGACCGCATAGGTTTAAGGTGAGAGGGGAAAGATTTAAAAGGGATCTAAGGGGTAACGTTTTCAAACAGAGGGTGGTATGCATATGGCATGAGCTGCCAGAGAAAGTGGTGGAGGCTGGTACAATTACAACATTTAAAAGGAGTCTGGATGGATATATGAATAGGAAGGGTTTTAAGGGATATGGGTCAAATGCTGGCAAATAGGACTAGATTTATTTAGGATATCTGGTTGACGTGGACAAGTTGGACTGAAGTGAATGTTTCCGTGCTGTACAGCTCTATGACTCTTTGACTTGGATTGCACTGTCCGAGAGTTTGGTCGCAGCAGATTCAAACATGGCTTTCAAAACAGAACTGCATAATAATCTGTGTAGAAAACAGGGCTATTTAGACACGTCAAAGTGTTCTTGCTGATATAGCTGGCACAAACAGAAATGGCCAAATGGTTGACTTTAATGCTGTAACATTCTATAATACAATAATCATTGCTTTACAGCATACTTAAAATACCACATTTGGTTCCATGTTTGTTGATCATCAAGGTAACATGGGAGGAGCAAATTAATGTGCCATTTGCAATAATTTTGGAATTGAACTGAACATACCATGGTTACTCATCCCACTTCTATTGTCCTAGAAAGACTTGCAAAATGAAAAATTCTGCTTTCTCTTATCAGTTACACTGTAGCAAAATCTGATATTGCTAGTGGACTGTTCCAATGGGAATGGCAAAGCTTAAAATGAGAGTGGGAAGAATCCATTGCAAAATGAAAATGCGAACAAAATCAATAACTGGTTTGCACAGTGTATTAAAGAACTTCAACCCATTTGCAGTGGCATGAGAGTCAGTATCACAAGATATGGATGGAACATAATTGGCAAGAAGAAAAAAGAACAAGATAAGAATAAGATAACAAGGTGTAGAGTTGGATGAATACACCAGGCCAGGCAGCATCAGAGGAGCAGGAACTTTCCTGCTCCTCTGATGCTGCTTGGCCTGTTGTGCTCATCCAGCTCCACACGTTGTTATCTCAGACTCCAGCATCGGCAGTTCCTACTATCTCCAAGATAAGAATAACCTTTTTTTAAACCCAGGCCTACAATCTGGACACAGTGCCTGAAAAAATCATGGAACCATATTCAATTGTAACATTCAAGGGGGAAATAGATAGATACTTCAAGTGGTTAAAAGATTTCAGGTCTATGAGGATGGGGACTAACTGATCTTGCAGGGAGCTGGCATGGACACAATGGGTTGAAAGGCCATCTGTGCTGTATCACTCTATGGCTCTATTATGCTCAAGAACTGTCCCAGTTCTCAGAGCCAGATGTCATTAGTATTATTAAAACAATAATTAGAAAGGAAGTAATTAATACCTGGCTCCCTTTCCTCCCAGGATTTCCTGGCTCACCCTGTAAAATATTATTATATAATATGGAAGTGTTAAGTGTGAAAAGTTCAGTGGTAAAACTAAGATATTCATTTATTACAAGCTATCATTAAATACATCAGTTTTTTTTGCTACAATGATTTTTGTCATTTTAAAAACATTAATACATACTCTCAATTCAATTATTTTTTATAACGTTATTATTGCAGTTGAAGAACAGTTTTTGTAAGCACTGATTCTTTAAGCCAAAATCAATATGGTCTTGGTTTGGTAAAAAATTGGGGTTTGTTCAAGTTCAAACAAATGCATTATTCAGAAGGTGGAATGAAATTTGGAACAGGATGTGAATTTCATATTTAGCCCAGTCATGGATTTAAATCCCTACCTTATTTCCCTTTGCTCCAGGAATCCCAAATGGGCCAGTCTGTCCTGGAAGTCCTGGCTCTCCCCTCAAACCCTGCAAGTGGTAAAAACAAACCTGAGCTCCTTTTAAACGGGGACTATTTGTTAGCTATTGCATTGTTGTACAAGTTAAATACTGGACAGAAATAGTGAATAATTGATGTGTTTCACGCTGATAAATTCAACCCTTTGCAACTTCAAAATTGACAAATACTTATGCTGGCAAGCACAAATTCAGTGGGTTTAACACTTGATTCTTGTGACGGTGCTCCATTCACACTACAGTGGTTCTACATGAAGGCCCACTATCATTTTGCAGCAACTAGAGAAGAACGATATACACATTACCCATATACCAAGAACAGATTAAAAATATATGCACTGGGATGCCAAAATGTGCACAGTTAAAATATAGGCTGCCCACAAAGGACTTGATGTTCAATGTAGCAGATGGGTGTAAAACTGGATTTGTGTATTCCAAACTGCATGATTCTCATTTCCAGTGAAATGAAATTCAGAGCTTAATATAACAGGTACAACATACTCATTTCCAACAAATCCTAGGCAAAACACAGGCATGAACTAATAAATGGCAAGTAACATTCATGCCATACAAGTGCCAAGCAAATATCATCTTCAACAAGGGAGAATCTAACCACTTCCCTTTGACATTCAAAGTCATTACCATCCCAGAATCTGTTACCAGCAACATCCTGGGAAATTGTTTTTGATTCTGAAAGCATGTTGGGACATAATGTGGAATTTTCCCCTGCCTGGATTGCCACAGGCAATGATGACAAAGTGGGGAGAATAAGGCAAGAATGAAAATATTAGAAATTTTGTTCATTGAGAATAAATTTCCTGCTTTAGCCCTTAAAGTTTAAACAGTGGCTTCAGAATCTGGCCATTGAGGAGCAACTATCTCATTTTCATACACTTGCAGTTCAGTATTGCACCGATGCTGTGCTGTACACTTCTGACAAGGGGGGTGGAATTTCTTGGATGTAGAAGATATGGGGGATCGATAGTAATCTTCAGAGGATGAAGCTGAGAAGCAAGGAGCAGTACATTGACCTGGAGTAATGTCCATGGAGATCATCCAGCAATGTGTTGTCCAATGTGAGAAGCCAGAGAGAACCGAACTCAAATCCATTTCCAGGATGAATAAGCTATGCTTGAAATCCCTCCATTACTTTAACATTGTCAGTTAAATGGCAAGCAATCCCTGCTTAGTGCAAAGAACAAGTGGGCCCTTTATTGTTGCTGAAAGGCCTTCACCTTTTCTGTTGCTGAATAATTGTTCCATTACTTGTACACTTCATATCTGTGGATGATCACATTTTCAAGTATCCACACATTTCTGCTTTTCCCATAAAATTCAGCAGGACAAGTATTCAGGGAGAGAGTGCACTAACATTGCAGCCTGCTAAGGTTCTGTGGTTCTTCAACCAGCACATCATGCCTGAGTATTGTGCAGTGAAGTCCCTCATAACAGGCAGCAGGTTGAGAGGAATCCTGAGGCATCTCCTTTTGATCCATCCATCATTGGTTAGCCTTCAATATTCCCAAGTGAGTGTGAACAGCTATGCTGCCATCAAATGCCTGAGCATTCTGTAGGATGGTGCTGAACAAATGAGAAGAAATGCTTTGTGCAGCTTCGCTCAACAGCTCAATGTGTTATAAGGGAGACTGGACATGTGGACTACTGATGGCACACCTCCCAGCCTTGAATGTGTATGGCTCCTGCTCCCTATGGGTGCCTGATGTAACCACTTTTTCTCCCTTGGAGGATGAGATTCCTAGAGTGAGGTGAAGGTCCCTTGTCCCCTTCTTGCTTTGCCACTGACACTGAACACCAATGGTTAAAGTGATGGAGTGCAGATCCATGCACCTAGTTGGCAGACACTGAGTGCACTGGACACAGATTTCCATGGTTTGCAATGAATGAAGTAGGTTAGAACCATTGAGTCGACATGATACATGCAATGGTGAGAGTTGAAATCCATGAACTTTAGTGAGATGTGTGTGGTAAAGTAAATGGTATCCCTCAAGTGTGAGATCACAGGGAGCAGATGATGGCATTTACCCTGGCAAATGGAGGAGTTAATTGGCCCTCTTCCTACACTGCAATGCATTCCTTTTAACCCGTCACATGGCACTGACCTGGGCAGCCATCTTGGTGTAGGCTGGCTGTGTCTGATTGCATGACCTCTTTTTCTGGTCAGCAGGATAAAGCACTGCCCAACTCTTCACCAAACACCATCCACCAGCACCACCAGGTCCCTGTTAACAAAGCAAAGTGCCAGCTTCCCTTTCTGGGATATGTTCTCAAGCAACACAGAGGAAGGACCAATTCCTGGCTTGCAGCACCTGAAGTGATGCGCTGCTGGGCTTTAGATATAGTGCTGCTGGCCTGAATGCTTGAAGGTCCCGACATTGGTGACAGTTATACCTTTCCTGCAGCGTGATTCCAAGAGAAGGATGGTGCAGAGGCTGGACGTATAATGAATGAGGCGAAGAGTGAAAGATTACATGAGAAAAGTCACTGAGTAACAGTGGACTGGGTGCCATACACCTCACTCAACAAAGCCCTAACTCAAAATTGGAAAGTTCAGCCCATACATTCAGCATACAAATATTCACTGTTACAAAACGCATCAACTGGTCACAGGATAGCTGAAAAATTACAAGCTGCACCTGTACACTCCACAGGCCACTGCATATTTGAGTTCTCTTAGCTTAGAGGCTAGGCCAGGAATACCTGCCCTCTTCACTTGTAGTAGTGGCATGACAGGCTGGGAATTTTATGGTTAAAAAACTCCTGCAATCTGCCATGTCATTAAGAGAGGGCAAGCAGTTTCACACCAACTGTGTTTATGTATTTCTGGCAAAAAGAACACAGTTGGAATACATATCATTCATAATGCACTGTAATCTTCTGGGCGATACCTTTGCACGTTAACTCTCAAAAACACTCTGTAATACCGCTCTATGACAGGATGAGTCAAAAATTTAACAAATTCAAATCACAACATTTAACTTACTCATTTTTCTAGAAGTTCAATAATATCATTTTAAGAGTTTGTTTTATTTCAGAACTATGTATTAATTGATTTAAAATGCAATTAGCTCTGAAATATGTAATGTAGCTCATTAAATGATTTTTTCACACCAGCCACTAAGTATACTGTATTCTAAATTAAACCACATATGCATGATTTTTTTAAAAAAAAAAACGTTGCGACTTTCTAGTTTTAGCACATAATTCTGTTTCGCATTTAAAGGAGAAAGGAGACCAGAACAGAATGAGATTCAATGCAAGTGTGGAGAAGCAGAGTCAAAATTAAGCTGCAGGATTGGGAAAAGACAAAGTAACACAAGATAAAAAGGGATTAGGACCTCAGTAATCAGGCAAGTAAAACTCAAACAAGGTGGACAAAGTGGAAAACCGACTTATTCACAAATGGTAAAGATGGGTGCTCTTATCAAATAATAGAGTTCTGTGGAAAAATAGAGATCAAATCTAAATGGAACTTAAAATGCACTTAAATATTATACATCTGAGGCCCTAATGATATCAAAGTCAATAAGTAATCTAGAAAGTGTTGTAGAGATGTTCACGGGGCATTAGAAGAGCTAAAAGGGAAGTTGTAAATTTTCAGTGGACAGTGTGAAAGGAATTAGAAGTAATTTTGTTGCTTAAAAAGAGAGTTGCAGCACTTAGCAATGGAGGGAATTCAAATGTATAGGATGAAGGTAAAGGAGAAATATTACATTTTTACAACTGATGTTGAAAGCACGAATCAAGGACAACTGAGGAAAGGTATGGAACATTTGGTAAACGTTGCTAAAATATTGGTCTGGGAAAAATGACCAGTTGAATCACTAGGCTGTGATGGACTGCTGTGATGAACCGTTGAGAGAATCAGAGAGGAGAAAGTAGAGGCTATCACCATTTTTACAGTCTACATTACAACAGTGGAGATTTTGAGACACTATAGTTGCGACCCTATCTCTGGAAGGGTGGCTTTCAGTCCTACAATAGGACCTGTGACCATGGAAGGTATCTTTGTACTGTGACCAATTAATTATCAACCTTCAAACTTCCCAATATACCTGAAGACAGATGGTAAGAGTAAGACTGCTTTCTGGTTAGCTATCCTGCTGAAAGCAATGGCAAATCACTGCATTATTTTACCAGTAAGTATGTACCAATTCAATGGAAATCCATAGCCCGATGCTTGGAAATGAGGACAGAAGAAAAGACAGACAGTAATGTGGAAAATTGTGGTATGCAACTGGGAAATACTGATGTACAAAAATGCAGAAAAGAATAAACTGGATAACAACTACTCAATTCCTTGAATACCATCAATAGGACGGCTCTTAGAGAGAAACTTTTCATCATGCAATTTAGGTAACTGGGAGCAAGCGCACACTTTGATCATTCCTAGGCACTGCCATGGATTCACTTCCATCCACTTTTATGTGTATGCATTATTTAAATATTCTTGCTGCCCCTTAATAGAAAGGACCTGAAATCCATAGCAAGGCTAAGGCATGAACTGACCAAGGTGATGCTGTGGATAGGAAATTATAGATGACAAATTTTTTTTAAAAAAGCATTTCTCAAGACCACCAGGTGTCTCAAAGTGCTTTACAGCCAATGAAATACTTTTGAAGGTTAATCAATGCTGCCTATTAGAAAACACACCAATTGTACACTTAGAGCTCCTGCACCAGCAAAGAGATGTTGATTGAGTCATCTATTTTTGTGACACTTATTGAGAGAAAGATATTGGCCTTGGCACCAGGGGTAACTCTCCAGCCCTGCTTCGAAATAATGCCATAGGATTCTTTTTTTCTGTTCACCTGAAGGGTGAGAGAGGCCTTAGTTTAATGTCTTACCTGAAAGACACTTCCGTTGACTCTTTCTCAGTACTGCACTGGAATATCAGTTTGGATTCTTGTGCTTAAGACCTGGAGTGGAACTTCTACCCACAACTGTGTAAGTCTGAGATGAGAGTGTTACTAATTGAGCCACAGTTGATTCAGAGAGGACAGACTTGTAATACTAGCACTGCTTCAGTCTTGGAGACGATGAAGAGATGCAATACAGATTATTGAGATTAGGGACGGTTTTGATGGAATGAATATGCAAAGATTATTTCCTCTGTTTGGGGGGCGCTCAATTATAAGAATTTATTAATTTAAAATTATTGTTGAAATCAAGGAGGTGTGTTGTGTTAGGAGAGAAAAGAATATTTGCAGAGAGGGCTTCTGGAGTACAACTGTTGTATTGCAATGTTGGGAAAGACACTAAATCAAAATCCCATCTACCTTCTCATGTGAATATATAAGATCCCATATCACTTCAAAGCAGAATCCAGGAAATCTTCTTCTTGTCTTTGTCAATATATATCCCTCCACCAACAATTTAAAATAGATTATTTCACATGACCTTGTTGTTGTTTATGGGAGCCTCCTGTGTGCAATTTGGCTGCTGTGTTTCCGACATAACAGCAGTGACTGAACTTGAGAAAAGGCCTTACCTGTAGTAAAAGCAAAATACTGTGCAGACACTGGAAATTTGAAACTAACACAGAAAATGCTGAAGAAACTCAGCCGGTCGAGTAGCACCAATGGAGAGAAAACATATGTTAACATTTTGAGTTTGATATGATGTTCCTTTAGAATCCCATCACTGTAAAATATTTTGGGGTAGCTTTAAGATCATTGAAATGCTATATAAATGGAAGCTTTTTTGTTCTTACAGAACACTTTGCCAAAAGAGTAACTGAGGCAGAGACCACCACACCTATCAAAGTAAAAAACGAATAAAGGTTCAAATCAGAGGATGTGACAGGGCATGTGGAGAGTGTCAATTGAGAGCTGCTTAAACATGATTAAGCAGCCTGTCTTTGTATATGTATATTTTGATGTACACATGTACATAAATCCACAGCATCTTTTGTAAAGCAGGGAGATGAAAGGTATAAAGAGACAGGTAGGGATATGAAGTAATCAGATCAACCGTAATCTTATTGACTAAGCCTGAATTGCTGAAGGGCCTATTGCTACTCCTGATATGTTTGTATGTATATCATCCCAGGGTACTGCACAGGAGCAACTTAAACTAAGTTTGACACCATACCACACCAGGATATATATAGCCACCAGTTTGAACATATGCAACTTCTAGGGATTGTCTTCAAGGGGGAACATGAGACAGAAAAATGGACGGACAGAAGGAAGAAATTGGGCAGCATGGTGGCTCAGTGATTAGCACTGCTGCCTCACAGCACCAGGGACCTGGGTTTGATTCCAGCCTCAGGTGACTGTCTGTGTGGAGTTTGCATGTTCTCCCTGTGTCTGCTCAGGTTTCCTCCGGGTGCTCCGGTTTCCTCCCACAGTCCAAAGATGTGCAAGTTAGGTGGATTGGCCATGCTAAATTGCCCATAGTGTTCAAGGATGTGTAGATTAGGTGAGTTATATGGGTCTGGCTGGGATGCTCTGAGGATCGGTATGGACTTGTTGGGCCGAAGGGCCTGTTTCCACACTGCAGGAATTCTATGGAAATTCCACAAATTACGACCTTGGCAACTGAAGGTGCTGCCATCTATTGTATAACGATTAAAATTCGGGATGTGTACGAATCCAGAATCAGATGAATGTAGATAGCTGGAAATTGGTGAGGATTACAGAGATAGTGAGAGGTGAGGCCATGAAGAAAATTGGAAACAAAGAAAAGACTTTTAAAACTGAGAAATTGCCTAGTCAGGAGCCAAAGTAAGTCAGTGAGCAGACAAATGTTGGGTGAATGGGACTTGGGATGTGTTAGAACAGTGATATCAGGGTCTTGGGTGATACCATGCCTGCCTTCATCTTGTAGTCTTCTACTTTATACAATACAATGCAGCACAGGAACAGGCTCTTCAGTCCACCAAGCATTCACCAATTCCCAATCCTTATTTAGACCTGCTACTTATTTCCCATGTGCAGTTTCTATCCCTCTGTTCACATCCCATTCATGTGTTTTTCAAGAAATGCCTTAAACATTGCTGACGTGCCTGCTTCCACTGGCAATGCATTCCAAGCACCCGCCAAACTGAGAAAAATTTTCCCCACACTTCTCCCCTGAACTTTTCCCGTCTTACCATGAACCTATGACCTCCTGTAGTTGACCCTTCTGCCCTGGGAAAAAGCCACACCCTATCTATGCCTCAAAATTTTGTAGACTTCTATCAGGTCGCCCCTCAGCTTTCGTATTTCCTGTCAAAACAATCTGAGTTTATCCAACCTCTCCTCCTAACTAAAACCTCCAAACCTGGCAACATCCTGGTAAACCTTTTCCACACCCTCTCCAAAGCATCCACGCCCTTCTGATAGTGTGGCGACCGGAACTGCATGCAAGATTCCATGTGTGGCCTAACTTAAGTTTTGTATAGCTGTAACATAATTTTCCAACTTTTATATTCGATGCCTCGGCAAATGAAGGCAAGTATTTAACGATTACTTTTAGAATCGCTGTCGCAATCACATTCAAACTGAGAAGTGTTGTCTTACAAAAACTGAATGTATAAGCACATAATTTATTTATATAATACATACAACGCATTAAAATGGACTTGAATCTTAACTAGTATTTAGCAGTATTCTCACTGCCTGCCTGAAATAACATCAAATGTAATATTTATTGCAGTTCATCGCATGAAGATGAACTATAGCAAATAATTTATTAGTGATGTTTCAATGATTATACACAAGAATAATAAATAAATGTATAAAAATAATGAATATATTCTAATTCTTTCAAAAACATAGATCCAGACCTGGGTTTGTTACATCATCATGAATGTTAAAAGAAACATATAATTTAAAAAATTATAAATATACCAAATGCGTTAATTTGCACATGAAATTTGAATACTACTCACAGCTGAGCCTGGACGCCCTGGAAGACCTGGTAGTCCTGGTGCACCAACGTCCCCCTAAACAAACATCAAACAATGGCATAAAAAGGTGAGACAAAAAGAAACAAAGTTCATCGATGGAATTCCATTAATCAATGTCAATAATTAACAAGTGCTGGCTATGCCAGTGATGCTCATGTCCCATGACAGAGTAAAAAATGTACTTTAATCACATATTTATCAATCTCCTGTGGCATTTTCAGATGATCGAAAAAGTGTGAATCTGTAAAGGGTAAATCATGTCTGACAAACCTGGCCAAATATTTTGAAAAGGTAACTAAAGTAGTGGACAAGGACATGTCTCCTTTCAACAGCAATTAGATATGGGAAACAAACTCTGAGCTTCCACTTAGGTAAAAGCACAAGATCTGTTCTGACAAAGGGTTACAACTGAAGTAAATTTTCTTCATTCAGATAAGATCAAAAAATACAGCACCAGAAGTAGTCTATTCAGCCCATTGAGGCTACATTGGCACTCAATGAGATCATGGCTGATTTGATAATCCTCAACTCCACTTTCCTGCCTATTCCTTTACTGATTAAAAATCTGCCTGTCTTAGCCTTGACTATATTTAATGACCCTCCTTGGTCAAACTTGCACATTTCTGCTTTAATTTCAATTCTTGCTCGTCCTGGACAACAATGGAGATTCTTCATTATTATAGTTTTAATTTGTAGTTGGCTGTAGAACCAAATGTCTGAACGAAGTTTTAATTTCTGGAAAATATTGTTGATAATTCAGGAGAGAAGATGACAGTGATATTGCTGCTAGATTAGTAATCCAGAGATCCAGGAAATGTTCTGGGGACTTAGCTTTGAATCCAACCATATCAGATTGTGACATTTGAATGAAAAAGAAGTATGGAATTAGAAGTCATGAAACCACTGTCGATTGTTGTAAAAATCCATCTGGTTCACTAATGTCCTTTAGGAATGGAAATCTGCCATCCTTACCTGATCTGGTCTACATGTGACTCAACCAACAGCAATGTGGTTGATTCTTAACTGCCCTCTGAAGTGGCTTAATAAGCCACTCATTTATGTCAACCTGCTAAAAATCTCTAAAAAAGGGAATGAAACCAAATAGAGCATATGGCATTCACTGACTGGAAATGACAATGGCAAACTCAGCCTTATCAATCTTGCAAAGCCCTCCTTACTAATATCTGAGGGCTAAAGCCAAAATTGAGAAAGCTGTCTCATAGACTAGTCAATCAACAGCCTAACAAAGTCATACTTACAGAACTGTACTTTACAGACCATGTACCAGACAACACCATCACCATCACCATCCATGTGTGTGTCCTGCCCTACCAACAGGACAGAATCAGCAGATATGATGGCACAGTGATATACAGTGGAGAGCGAATTGCCTTGGGAGTCCTCGGCATTGACTCTGGGCTCAATAAAAATCTTATAGCATCAGGTCAAACATAGAAAAGGAAACCTCCTGCAGATTAGTACACACCTCCACTATGGCTGATGATCAGTACTCCTCCATGTTGAACATTACTTGAGAAAGTACTGAGAGTGGCAGAGTACATGATACACTCTGGGTCTGGGACTTCAATGTCCATTACCAAGAGTGACCTGGCAGCAGCATAACTGACCAGGTTTGCCATGTACTAAAAGACATTGTTGATAGACTTGATCTGTGGAAGATGCTGATGGAACCAACAAGAGGGAGAAGTGTACTTGAACTCATCCTCACTAATCCACTTGCCACAATATATCTATCTGACAATGTCAGTAAGAGTGACCACCACATGTCCTCTGGATACCCTCTATTGATTTGTGTGGCACTGTCATCGTGCTAAATGGGATAGATTTATTAAAACAGTTCAAAGTCTAAGACTGGGCATGCATGAGATACTGTGGGCCATTAGCAGCAGAAAAATAGCATACCAACACAATCTGCAACGTTATGGTTTGGAAAATCAAACTGGGGATTAACTCCAGTTCAAAGAAGAGTACAGGAGGGCATGTCAAAAGCAGCACCAGGTATCAATCTGGTGAAACTACTGGGCAGTATTACATGTGTGGCAAACAGCATAAGCAGCAAATAACAGACAAGTGACTCTGCAACCATCAAAGCAGATCTAAGGTTTGCAGTCCTGCCACATTTAGTCATGAGTGGTGGTGAACAATTAAACAACTCACTGGAGGACGAAGCTCCACAAATGTCCCTATCCTCAAGGATGAGGGAGTCCAGCAAAAGATAACTTCAGCCAGAAGTGCCCAGTGGATGATCCATCACGGCCTCCTCCAGTGGACCCCAGCATCGCTGATGCCAGTCTTCATCCAATTCGATGCACTCCACGTGATATTAAGAAACAGCTCTAAGAACTGAATACTGCAAAGGCTATGGGCCCTGACAACATTTTGACAATAGTCCTGAAGACCTGTGCTCTAGAATGTGCCATGCCCCTTCCCACTGTTCTAGTACAGTGACAACACTGGCATCTGCCCGACAATGTGAAAAATTGCCCAAACATCCTGTACATGACTCATAGAGCAAATTCAACACCATCAATTACTGACCCTCCGATCTATAGTTGGTCATCAGTAAAATGAAGGAGGTGGTCATCAACAGTGTGACAATACTGTGGCTTTAAGAGATGCATTTTATCCTTTTTTAATGAACAGAGGTTAAGAATGAGGCGACAAGTGGTCTGCTGCAAGACAATAAAGTAAACAGCTTGAGAGGCCTTGGGGTTTTTTTTAGAAAAAAGTTGGAACAACAGAAGCAGCCTGAATGAGTAGGGTTAAGGTCCCATAGTGCATGTTTTCTCAGTCTTCACTCCCCTTCATGACTGGATGGAATAGCGTTACAAAGGACAGAGGGCACAGCAATTGGCAATTTGGCATACCCAATCCATGTGAATGTTTCCATTCAGGCCTCTTCTCTTCTTTCATCATTTAAATTTACCATTGTAACCTTGTATTTGATTCTCCCTCATATGTCTCTCTTGCTTCCCCTCCCTTCTCCTACCTCCTCCAAGTGGTTGGGTGAAGATAAAAACCGTTGGGTGAAGTGTTTCTTCTGCAATCCCTATTGGATTTCTTGGGGCTGAATTTATTTTTATTTTAGCTAAGCGCCAGTGGTATCAAGTTTTTTGGAGTTTTTCACTGCAATGAGATGTCTCACCTTATCTTACCAAACACATCTTAATAACTACCTACCCAGCCTCTACAGCATCCTTCTTGACCAATTCTATCCCCGTCTTATTAAGCACCGTTCCTAGAACAACTCGCCACTGAGCAGATAGCTACCAAAAGACAGCCCATTCCTGGCATCTGTGCCATCTTCAGAAAAGCTGCTGTGCACAGAGACAAGTGATGGCACACTGGTATTGCCCTTCACTGGCAACCTAATGGCACTGCAGGCACAAAACCATGCCGCTGATGGCACATAGCTCATGAATGAGACTCCCTTGAAAGTACAATGCCATTCTCTCACACTAGTTTCTGTTTAACCACAAGGCTATAGTGTTTACCTGTCCTTAGCTACATCGCATCTGAACACCCTCTAAGTCACCACTACCCTGTAACCAATGCCCACTGTAGTCCCGCAGTTTGTCACTGACTGGTAGGGGAACATGACATACAGGCAAGCAACTCGACAATCCCTAACATGAACCTTTATTTACAGCCAGCAAAAGGGAACACAAACAAAATGAATAGAGGCTGCAGTTCACCCCCTACAATGCAAATGAAATGTTAGCATCAAGACTATTTTACAGTCCGCGATGGTCTGCTGCACCCAGTTCTCATCTATTGGAATTGGCTATCAATCAGGTCCTATTTGTAGTCCCTCTAGTACCACCATCCCCTCCCCGGTGTCATCATCCTTCTCTTCAGAAAACTACTCCCATTCCCCAGTTACTCAGTGATTTCCCTTCTGCTCTTACAGGTCACTCTTGCAGTTTCCTCCATGCAATTTGCCCCAGGAATTCTATTCATCCCAGATCTATGACTAAGTTGAATGAGCAGCTCCTAGACAAGACTGAGTGGTCCCCTGACCACTATCTTTGCAGCTTCCTATCTGATAAAATACAATTCCCCGACTGCTTGTGATGGCTCAACGGGACTGACCATTTCTCATTCCCCAGCCTTTCATCAGATAGATCCCCTGACCGTGACTGGCCCAAGTGAATTACTGACTGTGGCTAAACCCTTGGACTGTGCGTATGATTGACACTCCTGGGAACCCACACACCCCCGCACCCCCGGCTCCTTTACTGCACTGAGGACCAGCCTCCATCAATAGTACAACATGGTTATTGGTTGAGTAAATGTGCAGTGTGTTTGCTGTGCAGGTAGCTAGCACACTGTAGGCGTTAAATTAATACCTCAGCCTGCTGTACAGAAATACATCGTTCATGCCCCACTTGTCCACTGACAAACATATCAAGCAATCCGTCTGTGTAACCATGCAAAACAGCCTGTCTGTAGGACAGGACTGATGGTCTTTGGCTCTGATTGAAGCGTCAACGTCCTTACAGACATGGCAAGGCAAGGCAAGGCTGGAAGCATACAGGTCAGTGCAAGGTTAGGATGCATCCCCGCGAGGCAGCTTAGTCCAAACTGTGACCTGGGTTTCTGTACCTGCTGCAGCCTCTGAAAAATTAGTCGCTAGTGCTTCCTGCAATCCGCGACTGCCCATTCAAAGCACCCTGCTAGTGGTTCAGAGGGGTGTCATGAAGATCCTGAGGGGTTGGTGAATGTCAGATGCCAATGTCTGTGGGTGAGGCAACTCGTGTCCGTGGATCGTGCTGTGAGATGCTGTTTGTTGCTGAGCAGCATGGAGGCTCCCTATAGCCAGCAGTGAGCTGACATCACCTCATACCTGCTCTGGCTTCCATGTCGAGAATTCTCAATATCTAACTTTCCGGTGCATTTAATCAGTATCAAGCTGAATATTAATGAGGTGAGTTGTGCCGTTAATAAGGCATTTAACAAGCTATAATCCCCCTTGATTGCAGCTCACTGCAGCCTAGTGAGAATCTTTCTATGCAACATGACGGATGTATAAAAGATAGAGCAAGTTGCTTCTCCCTCTCAATGTCAAAGTAGGCCTTGCCGGACACTTCACATAATTTTGCCACAAATCTCACTATAGTCCACATTGTTCAGGCTCCTTTAAGATTCTACACATGTTAATTATCATGTGCTGATGGCCTCCAGTTAGGTTGCACCCCAAAAGTAGGCACATTCTCTCTGTATCCATTCAGACAAAATGTTTCATTACGCCATGGACCACTATAAAGTCACTCCTCAGTCTACTTTTTCCACCAGCGTTTCAGAATAATTAGATCTAAAAATAAAGAAAGTTCTATATTTGGTTGATTGCCTGTGCCCTCAAATTATTCTGCTTGCTGCTGCTAACAATCGCATTCATATTATAATGTAAACTGCAACAGTAGGTGGTGTCATCAAGCAAGGGAGCCATGCATGCTAGCTGCAGCATCTGAACGCACCATCTCTGGAGCAAAAGGTGTCTTCGGGAGAAGGACTCAGAGGGAGAAGTTTCAGACTGACAATGGATTTCCTCAAGCAGGTGTGAACCACAAGATGTTGCTTCATCCTTGTTTTGCCTTAATTTCCCTATCCATTTGTCATGACTTGAAGCCAGTGGAAGAAACAAAATCTCTGCTTCGTGATCTTTGGGCCATCCATGCGCTCAAATCTCATGTTACATCTCCGTTGCAATGGGAAATCGTCCATCACAGAGAATGGTTAAAAAAAATATGTACCATTGGCCCTGGTGGTCCATCATGCCCAGGTGACCCCTGACGTCCTTGCTTACCCTGTAGAGAATTAAAGGAATATGATTAGTCGTCCAAAGACTTTCAGTATGAATGACCAGTATTCAGTTACAAATTCATACCCGCCACCATCCTGTGTTCTTTTGCCCTTTTTGGTTTCCCCAGGGGTGACGGAACAATGCAGGACTGTTGTTCAACTTGAAAGGATGCAGAAAAGATTTTACAAGGTTGTTGCAGGGGTTGAAGGGTTTAAGCCACGGGGAGAGGCTGAACAACCTGGGGCTATTTTTCCTGGAGTGTCAGAGGCTAAGGGGCGACCTTATAGAAGTTAATAAAATCATGAGGGGCATGGACAGGGTGAATAGCCAAGGTCTTTTTCCAGGGTAGGGGAGTCCAAAACTAGAGGACATAGGTTTAAGGGGAGTGGGAAAAGATTTAAAAGGGACCTAAAGGGCAACTTTTTCACACAGAGAATGGTGCATGCATGGGATGGGCTGCCAGAGGAAGTGGTGGAGGCTGGTACAATTACAATATTTAAAAGGTATCTGGATGGGTATATGAATAGGAAGAGTTTAAAGGGGTATGGGCCATTATGCTGGCAAATGGGACTAGATTGGTTTGGGACATCTGGTTGGCATGGATGAGTTGGACCTAAGGGTCTGCATCCATGCTGTATGGCTCTATGACTGGGAGCATGGGAAGACAGTGAGGAAATGGTTGGTGGGGTTGGAGATGTGCTGTAAACAATGATCTCCCTCAAGTAAGCAGCCATGCCAATTTCCAAATGGTTTGTGAGAATGGGCATCAAATGTGAATTCTAAACCACAGTTGCAACTGTCTGATTCATTCAAAGATGGTGGCTTTCCATGGATTATACAAATCTTCTGTCTGAGGGCAGTTTGACAGGGCACTGTTAGACATTTGCCCAAACCAACAGGATGGATTCCTACCCTTGAAGATTCGAGATGATTTTTTTGTTTAAATTCGGTGGATTCCTTACAATATATCCAGATTGCCACAGCCCAAATCCCCTGGCCGCCTCTATTTAAACACCAAAATGAGCACATTGCCATCATCAAGCAAGGTCACCCCTAATATCAAAGCAAAAGTGGATGCTGGAAATTTGAAAAAAAAACAAAAAATGCTGCAGAAATCTCCTGGTACCTTTTGGCAACTGGAAGGTTGCCATTCCAATAAACCATCTTGCTCCCACTTTAACATTTCGGTCCTAGGCCTGCTTCAATGTAACAGTGAAGCTCAATATAAACAGCTCCTTACTTTATGTTCTTCAGGACTCAACATTGAGTTTAACAACTTCACAGCATGAGCTCTGTCCTCCATTTTCAATACAATTGCCTGCCCCCGCCCCATGTCTTTTTGGCTTTGTTCTCAGCAGACTGGAACCAATTCCTACTTTTTGCACATTTTCATTCATTTACATCTCTATTGCTCCTTTATCATCGTTTGCATTCCCTTTATCTTTTGCTATGGGCTCCCTCAGTCATTATTTGGTCCACTCACTCCTACTCCCCCTCTGTCAACAGCATGAACTCTACCTTTTTCCAGCCCCTATCAGTTCTGAAGAAGAGTCATATCGGACTCAAAACATCAACTCTGTTTCTCTCCCAACAGATGCTGCCAGATCTGCTGAGTTTCTTCAGCATTTTTTGTATTTGGGTGAGTTATATCACAGACAATTCAAATCTTCTCCTATATGTGAACAAACGGAAATCAAATAACTCTTGTAGAAATTTGATTAGTGTTCTGTGATTCCTATAAATTTTCCTTGATGCAGAAGTGGTAAAACAGAGGGCTCTAAAGCTCACAGCATAGGAACTGATGCCAATGAAAGTACAAATAAATTTGTTGGCCAGTACTACTTCCCCTGACAACACCCACCTCCTCAATTTCAATCCTTTCTCTGCTGAAGACACTAAAGTCTTTAACATTCATTTCATGTAACTTGGACGACCCTCTTGTTGACTGGAGGCCCAGATGATGAAAAACAAGCTGTTCAAATATTTATCCTTCTATGGAAAACACTAGTTTTTTTAACAAGAAGGAAAAGGCTATTTTGTGAAACCCTTAAGCTAGATATGACTGAATGACTGTAGTTTATTTGGCCACAAAGGACATAATGAAAAATGTCAAAGACTTTGGTGTATTGACTGGCTGGTTCTTTAGATGTCTGTTTAGGTCCCCATCATGTTTCACTGCGTAAATCAGGTGAGCTACAAGCCCAGCACATTCACCATCCATGCTTATTGTGGCCAACTGCCCACACATTGCACAAATGGTGAGTAGCATTTACCATTAAAGGAGTCAATTATAAAGGTGTCATTTATAACATATTAAGTGGTCTGACATTTTGAGAAGTTCAAGCAGCCTCAGTCAGCTCTTCCCATCTCATTAAAATGCAATTACACTAGAGAGAAGCCGGTATGTAAATGTTAACTAAGTTTTGTTTTTTCCCTTTGGTGAATTCTGCAAGATTAGTCAAGCAGCTCTCTGCTATCCACCACTAACGGTCCATCCAGAGATCTCTGTACCTCCTGTAGGCCTTTATTGCTAGCTGATGTTCTGCCATCCATGACAGCTTAAGAGCTGTATTTCTTGGGCTGAATCTGGATGTTAACGAGGACGCTGCACTGGGAGTGGCCAACTCCACCTCCCTACACCCCTGGGGACTGAGCTACTGGTCATTATGGACAAGGAACTGCAAATGATGAAATAGTGCATAACATCTCATTCACACCCATCACTGCAGGAATCCTGGCCATTGAGCACTTGAGAATGAGTTAACGGACACTCTGCCACGGACTTTCGTTTCTTGCCCTGAGCAGGAAATAGGCACTGCTATCTAAACATTTGAAGGTCTTTCCTAGGTGAATATGTTCTGGCCTTTGCAAGGGTTTTATCTCTGGAAAGAGTTGAGCACTGTTTTGGTTATATCAATGTGTTTTTACCATTGACCCGCCTGTTACAAGCGATAGGGATTGGAGTTGCGAGGTGAATACTAGGTAACTGAAAACTTTAGAAGTTGGTTCAGCCACCTTTCTCTTATATGCAGGGAACTTGCTGTGAATAGGCTGCCCTCATTAGTCTGCATGATTTTGGATTGTAACTAGTCCCATGAAAGGGAGGTAAATATTCTCTGGACCCTGAAAAATATGCAACTTAGTAGTTTCACAATAAGGCCAAGCCATTTTGCTACATCCAACTTTGCTCTGGTATGTAATTTGAATGGTTATTAAGCTGAGAAACTGTGTGTGCAAAAATTTGAAAAAGTATCATCACCACAATCAATACTGCCAATACAGTTTGGAACTTGATTTCCTCATGTCCGAAGATTACATACTATTTGTCCTTGTAATGACCAATTCAACCCTGAATGACTCAATCACTGCCTATTGGATGTTAGTTACTGCAGCAACTATGTCATCATCAAAGAATGTAACATTACTTTTGATGACATCAGCCAGCTCACAGCTAGTGGGGAAAATGAGGTTGGGCACTTTTTACTGAACACATGCTGCGATAAAAACAAAGCTCCATTTATATTCCCTGAGATTCAGGTTTTCTACTAAGGTCTATACCTAATCCAAAAAAAATATACTTCCCAATGCATCAGGAAAGCAACCAACATAATCAAAGATCCCTCCCACCCCAGTTATACTTTCTCCCATCCTCTTCCATTAGGCAGAAGACATAAACGTTTTGTATATACATACAAACAGATTCAAGAACAGCTTCTTCCCCACCATTATCAGACTTTTGAAAGGACCTTTTCAACGTTAATATTGATCTCTCTCTGCACCTTCGTGGCAGCTATAACATGGAAAACTGCACTCTGCCTGTTACCCTGATGCACTTGTAAGTACGACCTGTCTGTAAAATATGTAAGACAACGCTTCTCACTGTACCTTGGTACATGTGACAGTAATAAATCAAATCAAAAAACAAAATTCAATGACGAGCCACAGACAAGTAAAAATTTTGCAAATGTGAAGGTTTAATTTTCTGGAACCCTGCAGAGTACCCCTCCACTAATTTTACTCGTAGATACTGATGGCAAGGTCTCAATATGCCTTCGTGGCCGATTCAGGGTTTGTTAAGAGAGAAATATAGGGTTGGGAGTTTTAGCACAAAGACCTAAGAAATCTGTTGGAAATTTCCTGCAGCAGTGCTGAAATCCCATCCACCTCATCCTAGTTAGATTTAAATTAAGATTAAATATTAATTTCTCCATGGCTTGCCTCACTAAATGAACACATTCAAAGAGGTAGCATTAGTTGCAAGGTGGTGTTAAACTCTAATGGGCCTCCTTCTTGACTTCATGTTATTAGTTGAAACACTGCCTTGCAACCTTAAATTTAAATTTAAATTTATCTCAGTATTTCTCTCTGTCTGGTGTCTTCATTCCTCTTCCTCAAAGAAATTCAGCACAGGAAAGAGGAATGTTGATTCCACTTGCTTCATTGAAAATGAAGAAGAGGCTGAGGGTGAGTCCACAGGGATGCCAGATGTGTTGAGAAATATCTGGTAAACAGACCACCACAAACAATGAGTGTGGAACCTATGTACCTTTCAGATGCTCATTCTGGATCTGGAATTCCTCTTCTCTAGAGGACGCCACTATAACCCTCAACTGTTATGTATCCTGGTTCCCTGAGAGGGCACAAAATCATATCTCTTAATTGGTTGTACAACACAGAATCAAAAAGGTGAAAAATACATGGTTCTCTCCAACAGGGTTCCACCACTCTGAACCACACCCCTGGATGTAAAGGCTAAATTAAACTGGTGAGCCGTATGGATCATTGGCCTCAATGTTATAGTGGGAGGTGATGGCCTAGTGGTATTATCGCTGGATCATTAATCTGTTAATGATCATTAATCCAGAGACACAGGTAATGTTATAAGGGTCAAGTTCAACTCCTGTCATGGCAGATAGTAGAATTTGAATTGAATCAAAATCTAGAATTAAGAGTCTAATGATAAACATGAATCCATTGTTAATTGTCATGAAAAGATTGTTGACTTGCTCGCCGAGCTGGCTTGTTTTCGTTCAGATGTTTCATCACCATGTTGGTGACATTATCGGTGAAGCCTCTGTGTCTACCCACTTGGAATTTATACTATCTGGTCCATTATGGTGAGTAGCGTCATTTCCAGTTTTGATCTGTATGGGTTTGTATATGGGGTCCAATTCTGTGTGTTTGGAGAGAGATAGTAGGAACTGCCGATGCTGGAGTCTGAGATAACATAACAAACGACTATACCTCCCAGTCGCGAACCACTTCAACCTCTCCTCCCACTCCTTGGACGACATGTCCATCCTAGGCCTCCTCCACTGCCACAACGATGCCACCCGAAGGCTGGAGGAACAGCACTTCATATTTCGCTTGGGAACCCTGCAGCCCAATGGTCTCAATGTGGTCTTCACAAGCTTCAAAATCTCCCCACCCCCGACCTCATCCCAAGACCAGCCCAGCTCGTCCCCGCCTCCTTGACCTGTCCATCTTTTCTCCCACCTGTCCACTCCTCCCACCTCACTGACCAACACCCACCCCCACTTCCTAACTACTAGGCTCATCCCTGCCTCCTTGACCTGTTCGTCTTCCCTCCCACCTACCCGCCCCTCCCTCCCAACTGACCAACCCCCATCCTAACTCCCTACCTACACTCACCTTTACTGGCTCCATCCCCGCCTCCTTGACCTGCCCGTCTTCTCATCACCTATCTGCTCCTCTATCCACCTTCCATCATCGCCTCCCCCCTCCCTATTTATTTCAGAATCCCCTTCCCCTCCCCCATTTCTGAAGAAGGGTCAGACCCGAAACGTTAGCTTTCCTGTTCCTCTGATGCTGCCTGGCCTGCAGTGTTCATCCAGCTCTACACCTTGTTATCTCTGTGTTTGGTGATTGCATTACGGGTGGAAAACCATGCCTCTAGGAATTTTTGTGCTTGTCTATGTTTGGCTTGGGTGGGCTACTATGGTTACTTTGCCCCAGTTAAACTAATGGCCTTCATTGTCTGAGTGTACCAATATTGAGGAGAGTCAGTCGTGCCATTTTGCTGCTAGTTGATATTCAGATACATGAACATCAACTAGCAGCAAAACGGCATGACTGATTCTCCTTAATACTGGCACACTCAGACAATGAAGGCCATCAGTTTAACTGGGACAAAGTAACCATAGTAGCCCAAGCCAAACATAGACAAGCACAAAAATTCCTAGAGGCATGGTTTTCCACCCGTAATGCAATCACCAAACACAGGGAATTGGACCCCATATACAAACCCATACAGATCAAAACTGAAAATGACACTACTCACCACGACGGACCAGACAGTATAAATTCCAAGTGGAGTAGAACAACATCGCTTCATCAGAAGCCTCACTGATGATGTTACCTAGCATAGCGACAAAACATCTGAACGAAAACAAGCCAGCTTGGCGAGCAAGTCAACGTCCTCACCCCCAATCCGAGCTACAGATCTTTGCCAAAACTTTAAATTATCAAGGAACCCCATCTTGTTCACTAAAGTCCTTTAGGGAAGGAAATTGCCATCTTTACCTGGTCTCCAGACCCACAGCAATGTGGTTAATTTTTAACTGGGACGGTCAATAAATGCTGGCCTAGCGAGCGACATCCTCATCCTGTGAATGAATAAAGAAGGAATGGTTGGGGGTGGGAAGCTTCCTGCCCTGCTGGAAGTTTTACAGAAGGCAGGGAGGGGTTGGACAAGCGCTTGGGCCATTAAGTTAGGCATTTAAGAGCTTTATCCACTCCTGTCACAAATTTATTTGTAGTGGGTGGCTGGGGGGGATGGCCATGCCATGCGGGTTGGTGTTGAGTATGTGCTTGGGGTCACGGAGAACACTTTATTGTGCTCCCTGAGCTGATCGGAGGAACTCTACCATTTCTCTCAGCATTTCAAGGCGATACCTCCTACTTTATTCTCCTCCTGCCCGGCCTTTCAAACCTGCCCTTCCCCATTCCCCAGCCCTCACTCCCTTCCACCCTCACCAAGTTGGAAGGTCCCAGTGATACCTTAGACTTAACTTTGTGTATGGTCTCATCTTCATCAGGACAGGCTGCTTCCCAGGCCTGACCACCACTTTTGGCTGGCGCTGAAGGCACAACACAGCTGCCAGCCATAAAGTCGGCTGCCAGCTCTCCAACATGGGACTTGTACCCGGGAAACGGGGAGGAAGTTTCACCCTAAAACAATGATTGCTGCCCCCACTATCAAAGAATTGTGGGTAACCACTGGGATTATGGGTCACACACACACACACACACACACACACACGTCATTATCACAGAATAAAATCATTCGATGTCGCAAGTCCCGAGCTGGTTCCCCGCCCGATTAGATGATTAAGGCTGGATAACCAGATTTTCAGTCTGTCAGGGAATCAAGTGATAAGGGGAGCAGCAGGAACGTGGAGTTGAATTCCAAGATCAGCCAGCATTGTAATAAACTATAAAACATGCTCGGCTGGCCTGTATGAGAGGCACACTCTATGGACATCTGAACACGTGCTTTATTTCCCAAAACAGATCTGATTTATAACTCCTCACCATTTTACCATTTCTCTATTTCAGAGGCGAAGGAGGAATAAATGTATTGTTTATTTCGTTATATAGTAGGATTTCTGGTGGACTAAAGTTTTACCTTTTCGCCTTCCAGCATGTGGGTGCTGGAAAATAGGGTTAGTTTTTCTTTTAAAAAAGCAAAAGATGATCACTCACCGGTATCCCATGCTGCCCTTCAGCTCCCCTTTGACCAGTCATTCCTTTTTGTCCCTTGAAAGAAATGGTTACAATTTGACAAAACTATGTTTTCCCTATTGAATGACAAAGCTGTAAAGATGCAATACAATGCAGTCAATATTTTTGGAGTTTTATGCTAGACACTTACATCAGTGCCACTGGTCAACTGGTGACGATGAGTTGAATGAGTTTCATGAAATCACTACGGATTGAGATGTCAATTATGGAATCCCAGCCAAGCAAGTGGATACCTTCCACTCTCGTATCTTATATGGACATTTTGACAAAGGAAAAGGCCATTCAGCCCCTCAAGCATTTTTTGCCATTCAACGTGATTGTGGATGATCAATGACCTATGTAGTACAACCATCATTGCCCCTTAAATCCTCTAATATCTCCCATTGATTTTAAAAAACCCTCAGATTTAGAACTAACAACTGATCTAGCATCAACTGCCACTTAACATTCCAAATTCTGACCATTTTGCAAAAATAGAACCTTTACTTTGCACTTGAAAGATTTAACTCTAACCTTTAGACCATGTCCCCAAGTCTTGGATTCCCCAAATAATAGAAAAAGATTCTCTTTGTAACCAATCAGTTCCCCTCAAAATCTTAAACTTTACTCAAATCACCCTAGGAATATAACCAGTGTTTGTTTTAACTTTTGCTCATAATCTAACTCCTAAGGTCCATCAAATATCACTACCCCTGGGAGTGGTCTTGTCTTTGACATGTGACCAGAGAGTTTCTTAAAACTGTGTGCCATGTTAGGCAAAATGAATAGAGAAAACCATCAGGTAATAAAGTATCCCTATATCCTGAAAAACAATACAGGCCATATTTGGCAGTCATTGAAGGTGCACCCCCTCAAACAAGTGTCTAATTCACAATGGAACATTTCAGACTACTATTGTGTTAATACTTGAGGAATACTCACTAAAAGATTTAGCCCATCACGTCAAAGTTTGTTTCCAGAAAGTAACAATACCTATCTTCATAATATCTTCCTCCATCTTGGGATCTAGTAATTAAGCCAACGTTGATTTAATCTGGGAACACATATGCTTGCATCCTGGGTGGTAACAGACCTCATTTGCTCTATTTGTTGTAGTTAAAAAGGGACATGTCTGAGCATTTGAAAATCATATGAAGACTTGCCAGTGCAATGTATTCTCTCTTTCTGTGATGACATGCCAGGTGCTCTTAAGATGTACTTTCAGCCAATGTTATAAAGTCAAACCAAATGTCTACAATACTTCCTCTGATGAGCATATTTCTTCCTCGACTACATTTAGTTTCAGAACTCATTGAAGGCATTGCTTACTTTTCCCCGCTTCCATCCAAGATGCACTAGTAATGCTTAGTGTTGTGGACTTTTCTTACGGCCTTTGAATGAAGCAGTTGTGTGGTTGCCTAGCTCTAATTACTGCATCAAGACACTATAGGTTGGGGGTTGGTGGCGGTGGCCTGCAGCACTTTAGGAGCTGTTATCACTGATAAACCATCCTGATTCCAACCTGTGCATAGGGTATCGTGTGCAATATGTAACAAGCCCTAGAACAGCAATATAATGGATTGAGTACCTATTATGCTCAGTTCAATACAAGCTCATTCATTACCCAAACAGCATTGGTCTAAGTAAAGCTAGATTTGTTCCTCTTTGTATGTGTAAATATCATGTGGACAATGAAATTCACACGTGTATTAGATAGGGTCAGGAGAATGTACCTACCTTGAGTCCTGGTCGACCTTGGGGTCCAGGAAGACCTCGAAAGCCCTATAGCAATGAACAAATTCAATAATGAGTTGTAAAGATGCTTTACCACTTCAGAGAGCTGCTTTGTATAGCTGCTGAGACATTCAAAAATGGCAATATAATGACATAGTTTTACCAGTGTCACTGGAAGCATTTTTACAACCAGCCTTTAAAGCAGGAAAGGAATCTTCCTTGTCTTGTTGGATGAGATTTGTACTAACTTTCATCTGCTTTAACACATCAAAAGACATGCAGCACATAATGCAACCGACAAGAAAGATTTGTCCATTTTTCAAACAGCTTAGAGCTGAATCCTGGTTCAATATTAATCCAAATGGGACAATTCAAGACACACAGATTAATAGATTTTGGAATTTCCTAGTTGTGCTCTAGTTTTCTCTCAAGTGATTTTTTTTCCCCATCAGAGTTCCAAAAGAGCACAAGAAAGCATGCTTGCCTTTATGCCTCAGTCACATGGGCAGGATTTTAGTGGTAGTGAAGAAAAGATTAACAAGAATTTTTTCAGAATTTGAGGGACTACTTAGATAAGGTGGAGAAGCTGTTGTTGTTTTACTTAGAGGAGAAGAGGTTGAGATGAGATTTGATGTAAGAGTTCAAATTCATGAGGGGTCTGGATAGAGTAGACAGAAAGAAACTGTCCAAGTTGGAGAAAGGGGACCAGAGGGAAATAATTCAAAATGCTTGACAAAAGAACCAATGTCAATATGAAGAATTTTTTTATATGCAGCCAGACTTTAGGATCTGGAATATACTGATCTACTGAGACAGACTTAAAAATTTTGGAAATAAATTGGATAAACATTTAAATGGAAACATTTTGCAGGGTGCTGGAGAAAGATAGGGACTTGGTCCTAGCTGAAAAAGCACAGCCAGTCAGACAGCATCCGAGGAGCAGGAAAGTCAGCATTTCGGGCCAAAACATTGATTTTCCTGCACCTCAGATGTTGTCTGACCAGCTGTGCTTTTCTAGCTCCACATTTTTTGACTCTAGCTCCCAGCATTTGCAGCCCTTACTGTCTCCATGTGGTACTAGCGGAGTTGCTTTTGCAGAAAAGCAGCATGGATGTAAAACTCTGAAAGGATCATAGAACAGATGGCCAATTACCTACTTTTTCATCTGAGGTACCCATGCCCAGAATTGATGGGGAAAGTGGATCATGGGCAATATCCCTGTCCAGCATGGGTAAGCAGTGGGGAGGCTAGCTGTTTTTGGCTATCATGTGTAGCTAAGCGGCAGAAATAGCACCAAAGTGATGCGTGTACTTGTCCTCTCACAGAGATGAAGCTCCCCCTCCCTGAACAACCCCTGCAAGTGTCAAATGGATCACCAGTGGAAGACACTGCTGAGCAAAATTCCAGCAAAACTACTGGAAAACGTAAATCCAGTATTCTCAACTCTAATTCTTTAGCCTGTAGCTAAGACAACCTTTTTAAAACATCCTGGATCTGTCTTCACTGCCAGGAATGAACAGATGATAACATTTGAATCAGAGATAGTAGGAACTGCAGATGCTGGAGAAGGGTCTAGGCCCGAAACGTCAGCCTTTCTGCTCCTATGACGCTGCTTGGCCTGCCGTGTTCATCCAGCCCTGCACCTTGTTGTCTCAGGTGATAACATTTGTTCATTCTACTTGCACTCACCTATCATCTAAATTTTCTGTAAGCTAGAGAGCTGAAATAGTGTTGCGCACTCTACCAGGGATCAGTGAGCCATGTGAACAATGCAAGCAGCTGCCTGTATCCTAAACGGTTTAGACTGAAGAATCATTATTGAATAGAGTATGAAGCAGGAAATGTCAGAATATTTAATTTCATGTTAATCCCAAATACAAAAACTTAACTAAAGAGAGCGAAAGAGAGCTGGCTTCGAGAGAATGAAATAAGAGACAGAAAGAAAAAGATTGTAAAATAAATCTCCAACAAGAATTAGAAGAATGAGATTCCATCCTCGTCAAGTTAATTTTCAGTGCAAGAATGGCTGTTTAGTAATCATTAAGACTTAGCATACCATTAAACATTAATTGCATTAAAATGGACAAGACACCAATTTTTCCAGTGAGTTAGTATGTAGTTATCAATATCTTTCCATATTTCTCATTACAATGTTTCTCAGCTATGCTATGACATGAAAGATAGGCCGCAAGTTTCATATTTCTGCATTTCGTTGCACAACAGGTCATTGGAAGTTACTGCGTAATTTGCAATTTAATAATGATGAGCCTGATAGCATTGCTGATGTTCCTGGAATTACAGGAATTATTGCATTTCCCAGAAAACATTCAGTTAATTCTGTTGCACAAATATGCTAAAGGGAGCCATATAACTGCAGTATGTAAACAACAATCATTTGTATCATATGGTGACTCAAATTTAGTCAGCTAAAGTTTGAACCTGAGAAAATCATATTATAATCACCTTAGTTTACCTGGGCTTCTGTTTTTAATCCTGTCTTTTATATACTAGCTGGAGAATGGCAACTTTGTACACTTTTCATTGTAGTCCTGTATTCCTGCGCTCAAGTACATGTGACAAGATAAATCGCAATCTAAATCTAAATCTACTGGAATCCATTCCTTATTTTAAAAAAAATATATTTTGAGAACCTTCTCACAGGCCCATTTCCTATTGCTTGCAGATGTCCATTTTAAGTTCAAAAGTTGAAGCCCAGCTGTGGCTTAAACTCGGTCCATCTTTGAAGTCAAAACAAGATTCAGTCATAACATCTGTTTAAATGCCAAATAATAGTTCATGAGTCTAATCTGGGTATTCTAGGACAAGAATTATCATTGTAACCTTTTGGAGTATTTCCAGCGTCACTACTCCAAGTTAACAGACAGATGCCAGTAATACTGATCCTGCGCTAGTCACAAACAAAAGCTGTCCCATCGTTGCTAACAAGGTGTAGAGCTGGATGAACACAGCAGGCCAGGCAGCATCATAGGAGCAGGAAGGCTGACGTTTCGGGCCTAGACCCTTCTTCAGAAATGGGGGAGGGGAAGGGGGTTCTGAAATAAATAGAGAGAGAGGGGGAGGCAGATAGAAGATGGATAGAGGAGAAGATAGGTGGAGAGGAAACAGACAGGTCAAAGAGGTGGGGATGGAGCCAGTAAAAGTGAGTGGAGGTGGGGAGGTAGGGAGGAGATAGGTCAGTCCAGGGAGGATGGACAGGTCAAGGGGGCAGGATGAGGTTAGTAGGTAGGAAATAGGGGTGCGGCTTGAGGTGGGAGGAGGGGATAGGTGGGAGGAAGAACAGGTGAGGGAGGCGGGGACGAGCTGGGCTGGTTTTGGAATGCGGTAGGGGGAGGGGAGATTTTGAAGCTTGTGAAGTCCACATTGATACCATTGGGCTGCAGGGTTCCCAAGCGGAATATGAGTTGCTGTTCCTGCAACCTTCGGGTGGCATCGTGGTGGCACTGCAGGAGGCCCAGGATGGACATGTCATCTGAGGAATGGGAAGGGGAGTTGAAATGGTTAGCGACTGGGAGGTGCAGTTGTTTATTGCAAACCGAGCGTAGGTGTTCTGCAAAGCGGTCCCCAAGCCTCCGCTTGGTTTCCCCGATGTAGAGGAGGCCACAACGGGTACAGCGGATGCAGTATACCACATTAGCAGATGTGCAGGTGAATATCTGCTTGATGTAGAAAGTCTTCTTGGGGCCTGGGATGGGGGTGAGGGAGGTGGTGTGGGGGCAGGTGTAGCACTTCCTGAGGTTGCAGGGAAAAGTGCCGGGTGTGGTGGGGCTGGAGGGGAGTGTGGAGCGGACAAGGGAGTCACGGAGAGAGTGGTCCCTCCAGAAAGCAGATAAGGGTGGGGAGGGAGGAGACAGCAGCACCCAGCCCTGCCGAGTCTTCACCAACCCCCCAGACCTCCTCCTTACTGAGGACTGACCATTCGTCATCAGTAAAGGGCTCACGTTGTCCCCCTTCACCCACACATCAACGAATACCGGTTTGGACATTGAGCAGTTTTTCCGCCGCCTCCGCCTCCCCGCTTACTTCTTCAACCGTGAACCTAACCCTCCCTCTACTGACCCCTTCTCCCACCTCCAACACACCCCCTCCTCCTGGACACCACCCCAAGGCCTCCTTCCCTCCCTCGAACTCTTCATCTCCAACTGCCATCGAGACATCAATCGCCTCAACCTCTCCACCCCTCACCCACTCCAACCTCTCCCCCGCAGAACGTGCAGCCCTCCGCTCCCTCCACTCCAATCCCAACCTCACCATAAAACCCGCGGACAAGGGAGGTGCAGTTGTAGTATGGCGCACTGACCTCTACATCGCCGAGGCCAGACACCAACTCTCCGACACCTCCTCCTACCGGCCCCTTGATCATGACCCCACCCCTGAACACCAAACCATCATCTCCCAAACCATCCACAACCTCATCACTTCAGGTGACCTCCCACCCACAGCCTCCAATCTCATCGTTCCCCAACCCCGCACCGCCCGCTTCTATCTCCTTCCCAAAATCCACAAACCTGACTGCCCTGGTCGACCCATTGTCTCCGCCTGCTCCTGCCCCACCGAACCTATCTCCGCCTATCTCAACTCCATTTTCTCCCCCTTGGTCCAGGAACTCCCTACCTACGTCCGTGACACCACCCATGCCCTCCACCTCCTCCAGAACTTCCAATTCCCCGGTCCCCAACACCTCATCTTTACCATGGACGTCCAGTCCCTATACACCTGCATTCCCCATACAGGTGGCCTAAAGGCCCTCCGCTTCTTCCTGTCCCGCAGGCCCGACCAGTCCCCCTCCACTGACACCCTCATCCACTTAGCCAAACTCGTCCTCACCCTCAACAACTTCTCTTTCAATTCCTCCCACTTCCTACAGACAAAGGGGGTGGCCATGGGTACCCGCATGGGCCCAAGCTACGCCTGCCTCTTTGTAGGATACGTGGAACAATCCCTCTTCCGTACCTACACCGGCCCTAAACCCCACCTCTTCCTCCGTTACGTTGATGACTGTATCAGCGCCGCCTCGTGCTCCCACGAGG